TGGCAACACTATTCATCGAAATCAAAAACCGATGCATTAAATTATGTATCTTAGTGTAGTCTATTTGTGTGCCAAGTTATACTGAAATCAGACCAAAACTCTAGGAGGAGTAGCGTTTTAAAGGAATTTCACAGAAATTTCTATTTTTAGTAACCATGGCAACACCGTTCATCGAAATCAAAAACTGATGCACTAAATTATGCATCTTAGTGTAGTCTACTTGTGTGCCAAGTTATATTGAAATCAGACCAAAACTGTACGAGGAGTAGCATTTTGAAAAATTGTTTACAGACAGACGGACAGACAGACAGACAGACAGACAGACAGACAGACGGACGGACGACGGACACCTTACTATTGCATAAGCTCTTCTGGTCTCTACCAGTAGAGCTAAAAATTATATAGTATGTTTTACCATTTTTATCATTGAAAGAAAAGTGTTCTTTTCCTATCTCAATTTAAGGCAACATAGCAATTTGTATCATTCAACTTACTTACTCGCTAATTTAATACTCACTCAATAAGACACAAATCATTTGGAGATAAATACAGAAAGTTAACTGATTAAAGTAATGAATGGGCAAGTTCAGATAACTGAAATCAAATAATGAAGTAAAATATTTTACCACGTATTTAAACATTCATGTAAAAAAAATTGTTCAAGTTATGACTTCCTGAATGAATATCCAAAGGAAAACGAAAATCTCCAGGAATAAAACTTGAATTAAATTGGTCTAAAATTACACAATCAATACTAACAAAGACATTTTTTCTGTTGAAATGCAACCTTGAATTCCCTAGTCAAAAGAACAACAAGGCAGTCATGCAATATTGTAATTTAATATATCCTCTTTTGGAATAAATATTACACTAGAGAGCTAGAGGCTAACAGTTTTCTGTAACTGATAATGAGAGGAGCTTGAGCCAAATACAGAAGTCATTGTGTGACCTGACCACAGAAAACCAGTAGCCATCAGCACCTGTACTACATTATGGAAAATAGAAAATCAATGTTTCTCACCTAGAGAAGGGACACATAAAAAATGTAATTAACCATTATTATCAAAATCAATACTAATCCAATATATACCGGTACTGCTTGTCTGAAATGGACATTAAATTGATCTCGCAATAAAAGAATTATATCTGTCATAATCATTTATGTTGGAACAAAAACACAACACTTTGTGGAATCCATTCATTTTATGAAGGAATCTATATTTACAGTATCCCATATTGTGTTTTTGATATTAATACATGTAGTTATAAGGCTCCCCACTTGATCTTTAAACCTTGAATGGTGTCCCTATAGCAACACTTACGCAACATTGGGTATGATGAATGCCCTGCAGCAGAAACGGGGATAGCGACTGACAATTCAACAAAAGAACATTCCCCGTATATTCTGTATAAGTCTGAGAAATTAAGTCCCAGTAGTTACAGACCATCATCAGAATATAAATCTGGACTTCATTAAAAAATGGAAATTTTATACACAGAATTTCAAATTTATTTTAAGTTAATTAAAGCAGGAGACAATACCATAAACTTATGAATAAAATAGTACTTATATAATCTTGCAGAATCAAGTTTTTCCATTCTTTACAAATTTCCTTGAAATGATGAGATATGGTCATTTCAGTGTCAATTGCTGCAATTCTACCTATAGGAATGCTTCCTATTATTTATAGGCCTAGTATATAATTTATAACCTTCTCATGTTTCTTTGCTATAAACCCCTGACCATGACAAAAATTTCCCTTCCTCTTTCAGTAAAATATCTTTTACTTAGTACCTATACATTGTGATCAAAGAAAATCTTTGTCAAGTATGAGTTTGTAATATATACTGTAGATCACCAAATTTTTAGACACCTTATTTTTCACGACATAACTTTTTGGTATTTTTAAGCAATAAGGCAAAATTTTCATGATTCTGGTTATTGTATAATTCTGATAAAAAAATATGCGCGATAATAGAATTTTCACAAGGAAACAGTCCCGCATTATTACTTGAAAATAAAGTTCTTGCAAATGAAAAGTGATTTACAGTATTCTCTGTTTACAGTATTCTCTGTTTATAACTTGTTGCCAAAGTAGAATCTTGTGCTTATATTTCTGATTGACTCATCCTAAATAAACTCTTGATCACAAAAACCAATTAAAGGTGCAGACAAGGACAATTTGCCCTTTGATCTATTTATGGTAACAGAAGCTGCACCCTTTCACCTGATGATCCTCTATAAATAATTATAGCAATTCCAGCCAAACTCCTATGACTCCATAAGCAACATCATCTGTCTCTGCTCCTTTTAAGACCAACCCATGATACAGTGTATGAATATTCCAACATAAAGCATTCTCAAGTTACTCAGTAGAGAAAAACTCTGTTATAGTAACAGGATATTTTTAGATTAGGATGTTAGAATTCCCTTTGGCCAGAGAAGAAAGAGGGTCTAGGTAAAAGATGTCTATAACTTTTTTTCCTTACACTCCTGGATTCATTTTATATCATAAATTTGTCAAAATTGGTAAAACCATTTCATAGATAATTAAGACTTTTAATGTTTAAAAAATGTATCACACAGCATATTATATACACATGTAAATAGCAAAATGTCACCAATGTGACTCAATCAGTTTACCCCTAAAAAATACCCAAGAAAACAGCATAAAAAATTCTGATAATCCATTTCTGAATCAATAGAATTTACAGAAAAATAAATTACTTAATATCATCTACTATGTCAGAATTAAAGCTTTCACATAAATTTCATCTTTTCTTGTCTACTTTTATGGTTCATGAAAAGATTTTTAAATGACCAATCATATATTTGTGTTTTTTTTCCTATTATCTCCCCTTGGAAGGGAACGTGGCCCTTCAATTGAACAATTTTGAATTCCCCTTTACCAAAGAATGCTCCTGCCAAGGTTCTAGAAGATGAAGTCAAATAATGATCAAACTTTACAAATGGACAACAGGTAATCTGAAAAGCTGAGCTTACGGCTCAGGTGAGCTAAATATCATACTAATAAACCATGTGATAAATGAAGATTAATTTTTCATGACAATAATGAGGTAACCTTTTCTTATATTAAATTAACATTCAATATCAGCATGATTTGTGGTATATTGTTTGTGAAAGTATTATGCAATTTTGTCCACTTTATTTAAATAAACCATTTAAATTACTTGTTATTGCCTTCCAATATGAATTAATTCTGGGGATAAGTAAAAGTATTATGCAATATTGTCCACTATTATATTGAAATTAAAATTAGACGTTATTGTTTTACAACATGTGTTAATTTTCGGATATGTTGATTTAAAATGATTGCGAATATTAAGTGGAAACTTGTGATTAAATTCTAACATATAAGTCTGCTCTTATTATCAATAAATTAACACCAGCTAAAAGATAAGTAATATGACATGATATAGAAGAATAGAAGACAAAACACAAGCACAAATTTATCCCTAACTTACAATCTTAAAAACAAATTCCTGGGAAAACATGTTTTCTCTTAAAATGATAAACCTTTTTTTTTTCCATTACTTTAACGTACAGTATTTTTCTTGTATCAAAGAAACCAGGGGAAATAAAACTACAGTCAAATCTCGTTATCTTGAACTCGACCAAAATTTCTATTTTTAGTAACCATGGGAACACTGCTCATCGAAATCAAAAACCGATATACAAAATTATGTATCTAAGTGAATCTACTTGTCTGCCATTAGTTATATTGAAATCAAACCAAAACTGTAGGAGGAGTAGCATTTTGAAAAAATTGTTTACAGAAGGACAGCTAGACAGATGAATGGCAGGACGGACGACGGACACCTTACTATCACATAAGCTCTTCTGGTCTCTTTCCAATAGAGCTTATAAAGTGGTTGGGACTGCTGACTCACTTTGACATATATCCCTGATATTGGAGATACCGGGTATTGGTGTTTGAGATAATTTAAATGAAGTTTTCTACTGTATCTTCTTCAGTGGATTTTCAAAAATGTTGAACCTAACTTGAATAACTTTAAAACTCTAATTATGGAACTCTACTCACAGTAGATTATCAAAACATCAAAAATCAGTTTCATGAAAATATTTTTGACCAAAACAATCACAAAATAGTCAATGTTTTAATTTTATAAACTCAATAGATAAAGTTATGAAAAATATTTTAATTAAGGGTCATACAAATAACTCAAATATGGCCCCTAGGAGCGAAAAATATTGATATTTTGTTGCTAAGAACCTGAAATGAAGATTGCTTTAAACCTAGTCTATTTTGAACTATAATTGACTGTGATAGAAATTAATGGATGAATTCTGTGTGTTTCCCCATTTAGATCCTTGTTGCAAAAACAATGAGTACAAGTCAGTCTATCTTTGGCTTTGATCATCATACACAAATATTTGACTCATGTATTAGATAGTATACAAACTGCGTAGTTTACTAGAGAGTGTAATCTTTTTGTGTTTTCTGAAGCATTAAGTATAATAACTATAAAATTAATCAAAAATAATCAATTAAATAAGTATATACATTCAATAAGCATTGTGATTACTTTTTTATGGCACCCAAAATTAATTCTTATTTTGAAACAGAAAAAAATTAATTAAGAGCATTTAATCATGATAGCTATTGCATTCTATTTAGTGTCACCCAAACAAGGATGGCTGTATCATACATGTTGGGTTCTGAGCCTACTTTAGAGGCAATTAAAAAATTCCACTTTCATAATTGGGGAAGGAATTGCAATTTGTTTCAAATAAAGTTTAAAAATATTTGTAATGATGACACGTAACAACTTAAATCTTATATGTTTGTTATCCCTCTAAACTTTCCCCCCTATAAATCTCTATCACCAAAAGCCACTCACATATAAGTAAAACTTGATATTCTGTTTTTACATTAACAAACATCTCATGGCCATGCTTAACTTTCATACATCAAAAGCAATATTATTGTAGTAAATTGTAAATACCACCCCCTCACCTATAGTCAGCTAGTCGTCATGGTGACAGCTCCTCTTAACCAATCAAAAGGTTTCTAGTTTCTGGTTTCTGTTTCAGGAAGAAACTTTGAAAATCTGCAATTAAGAAAACATATAGGATAACTGCAATCTTTATTGTTCTGCTTCATCCCTGGAGAACATGAGCTATTGTCTTACGATATGGTTTAATTTATTTCTCTTCCTTTTTTATATTCTATGGACAGAGAGATTTCTCATCTTGTGCAATCACAGAAATTTCTATGGCTTTGATATAACTGACAGAATCTTGTCTCTGGAGTATGCACAGACAAAGCATTAAGACGAGGCCCCAGACAATTACCTAGGATATTACAGTTCCTGTTAAATATGACAGATTTTCAGAGTTCAGCAGATCAATAGCAGAGAATCTCATGAAGACTTTATGATGCTGATCGATTCAAAGATGTCTCAATCAGTTACATAACGACAGAAAAAAAATCAATAGACATCTAGAAGAAAACCCACTCAAACATACAGAGCAGGTTAATTAATAACCCTTATGGGTCAAGTGTACATGCAAATGCTTGTACTCATTTGTGTAACTAAGAGAGGAGAGAATTTAATTAATTTTTTTTTCATTACCTAGCTTATTAACAAAAAATGATCAAGGAGATCAAATTAGTTGGTATCTAAAATTTTAGGAGAATTAAAGCATCATTAGAATTGAATTACCTAAGAGTAATTACAGTAGCTACCGGTATTAAATACCTTTTCTGTATCATGTATCATAATGAATGTTTTCATCCTCCACTAACAAAACTACGAGCATCAAAGTTTTTGGTCTGACACTTTGCCCAGAATCAATAAAATGTAAGTATATATTATGAGGGCCCCCTTACTAATACAGCCTTTATAAAAGATATCAGTTCCATCAATACACGTATACCAGTTAATCAATATATCACTGGTAAATTACCTTGAGGTTTCCGTTATGGTGTAGTCCACATTCAGCCAGCAATGTCCCAGGAACCATCCACTGTTGTTTTGATTTCTATAGTTTTCATCTGAAAAAATTCAAACAGGATATCACAACAAATGAGACTTATTACTGATGCTACAATGATCACAGAGAATGTCTCCAAAAAATCCACAGGAAAACAAACACGTACACAAGATCCAATCATATCATGCCCGACATACAGACGTGTTATTTGGAAACCTTGTATTATTTAGAAATCTCATCAGGATCTAGTGACGTATTTCCAAAAAGGACGACAATGCTTGGTTTAAGTATTCACAGGTGATCAGCCAAGTATACAAACACCTAAAAGGCATACGACCTGGCTGGTCTTTAAATAAAAGTTGTGGGAGTATGTATACGAACATATGAGCAGATAAAACTTTAAATCTCTGTCTTTCCTATTGTATATCCTTTTCAACTTATGAGTTCAGTAACAGTCTACTTAACTACATAGGTTATTCTATACTTATCTAAGTGAATAAAAAGTAAAAATCTAAGCTTAATACTGTGTTTAGTTTTTAGTTTAATTAATATAAAATGAGTATATAAGTACAGTCCACCAAGATATGGAAATGGATTAATTATCTTCAGAAATAATTCCCAATCAAGAGAAACAGACATAAATTCTGAAGGGGGTACAGTAAACAAAGTCAACTCATAATGGATGGAAAGTTTTTGATGTATATAAAAATTATACTAAAACAAAAGATGTTTGTGAAACACTTATTCCCCCCCCCCCCCCCCCCTTTGCAGAGATAATGAACGGAAAGCAAATAATTGGAATTTTTCTAAGTCCAAGGGGCATAACTCTGTCAAGAATTGCTTGATTGTATCCAAAACAGAACTTGACCTTGATATTCTTATGATAAATCTGTATACTGAATTTCATTTCAGTATGTGCAACCCCTGCGAAGAAAATGAATAGACACTGCAAATAATTGGAATTTTTTTAAGTCCATAAGGGGCATAACTCTGTCAAAAATTGCTGGATCGTTCCCAAAACAAAACTTGACCTAGATATTATGATAAATCTGTATACCAAATTTCATTTCAGTATGTGCAACCTCTGAGAAGAAAATGAAAGGAAACTGTTGGTTTCAGACAGACAGACTGACCGCTAGACAGCAGCAAAGCAATATATATGCCCTCCCTTCTGTGTAACTATGTAAACTACAGCATCCTTCTACATTCAATGTTGACAAAAACGTTAAAAGAACAGGACCAATAGCCCCTCACCTTAAGCTCTACGGAAATTATACACACACTGAAAGTTCATTATATGCTGACATAAAAAACTATTTATTTTCTTTTATTTCTTTGTACATGATGGACTACTAATTGTGGACCCAGTGTGGTCCTGAGAATCCTAAATGCTTTACTATGCTCGAAAATCAGATTACAGCTTTCACACAATTTAAATTCTTTACTTCTGGTCAAGTTTTTTTCCCCTGAGAAATACTTCCAATACACTATAAACAATTCCATTTTATTTTCAATATTCCTTTAACAACCTCTTCATTTGATTTGCGACGTCTGAATCCCTTTTACTTCATCAAGTTTGCCTGGATACGAATTTCAAATCTATGTATAGGACAACAGATGTATAAGGTCCGGCCACACAAACTAATCAGAGCCTGCGCTTACAAGCTTCTGATTAACTCAGATGATCCAATTACTGTTACAGATTACTAGCTTCTAGTTTATTATCTCCCCTCATGCTCTTAAATCCTCACCCATACTTGTCTACCTTTGCCTACCTCCTTCAAAATGTGCAACACTATACAGTTATATGTACAGGGATTTGGACAGTACAGAAAAACAACCTTACAGGGAACACGCTTATAATGAATTGATCGATGCTTACAGCAAAGTGATTTTTATTTCCTGTGGCTTTAGAATATAGTGAACTTAACAGATATAAGGAATTATGTTTATAATGTGCAAAATTGTCTGTCCCTGGCACTTCATTATAAGCGTGTTTTACTGTACATGTATATTATATATATTTTGTTGGACCTGAAGATAAAAATGCTGCCCCCTAGCCTGAAGACAGCTAAATTTGACAACTGATTTGAAAATATTGCTTATTTAAGATTATATCATATAACTGTCCACTGTAGAGTCACATTTATAAACATGCATGTACATGGAATTGTTCTTCAAGTAAATGTAAAAACTGAATTAAAACCAACAGTTTAAGTAAAATTCACTCCATTAAGATAATAAATCACTCACAGATTCTCAAGGATGAATTGTAAAAATAATCAATTAATACATGAGAATCTGTGATTTATTATCTTAATCAATGGAGTGAATTTTACTTAAACTGTTGGTTTTTAATTCAGTTCTACATTTACTTGAATGTTATGTTTCTTGCACATCTTACTAGTATTGCTTTAAACTATAAATGAATGAGAATAAATACCAATTGAAACATGAATAATGAACTAGCTATGTGTGCTTCAAAGAGATGACATATTTCTAGGGCTCAAATTCACTTAAATCTATATACACTGAACTAATAAGCAGTACTGATGAATTATTCAATGTAATTGAAGTCTATAACTTTAAGAGTATAGACTCTTCTAACAGCATAAATTTCCTCACTAAAACCAAATCATACATCTTAGTCCAATTCTGTTGACAACTTGACATGCTGAACCACTTCTTGATTTAAAGTTTTCAGTCTAACTTCCATTTTAAACTAAACTCTGATACATGATTTCAAACAGCTGCAAGATTATAAGTACTTCCTGATTACAAGTTTTCAATCTAGCTTGTATGAAGCTTCCATTTTAAACTGCATAGACTCTGAGATATAATAAGCTCACCTCGACGAAGTCGAGATGAGCTTATGCTATACCCCCGGCATCGGCGTCTGTGTCGGCGTCGGCGTTAGCGTCGGCGTCCCAGGTTAAAGTTTTAGGAGCAAGTCCCATTCCCAAGTAACTATAAGCCCTACCTGGACCAAACTTGCATGGATGATGCATCTAGGGATGGACACTACCAAACTTGCTTCGGATGCTGGATCTGACCTAGATTTTCCAGATGAGTGACCAGGTTAAAGTTTTAGGAGCAGGTCCATTCCTTAGTAACTATAAGCCCTACCTGGATCAAACTTGCATTGATGATGCATCTAGGGATGGACACTACCACACTTACTTCGGATGCTGGATCTGACCTAGATTTTCCAGATGAGTGACCAGGTTAAAGTTTTAGGAGCAGGTCCATTCCCAAGTAACTATAAGCCCTACCTTGACCAAACTTGCATGGATGATGCATCTAGGGATGGACATGGCCACACTTACTTCGGATGCTGGATCTGACCTAGATTTTCCAGATGAGTGACCAGGTTAAAGTTTTAGGAGCAGGTCGATTCCCAAGTATCTATAAGCCCTACCTTGACCAAACTTGCATGGATGATGCATCTAGGTATGGACACTACCAGACTTGCTTCGGATGCTGGATCTGACCTATATTTTCCAGATGAGTGACCAGGTTAAAGTTTTAGGAGCAGGTCCATTCCCAAGTAACTGTAAGCCCTACCTTGACCAAACTTGCATGGATGATGCATCTAGGGATGGACATGGCCACACTTACTTCGGATGCTGGATCTGACCTAGATTTTCCAGATGAGTGACCAGGTTAAAGTTTTAGGAGCAGGTCCATTCCCAAGTAACTATAAGCCCTACCTTGACCAAACTTGCATGGATGATGCATCTAGGGATGGACACTACCAAACTTGCTTCGGATGCTGGATCTGACCTAGATTTTCCAGATGAGTGACCAGGTTAAAGTTTTAGGAGCAGGTCCATTCCCAAGTTACTATAAACCCTACCCGGACCAAACTTGCATGGATGATGCATCCAGGGATGGACACTACCACACTTGTTCAGATGCTGGATCTGATCTAGATTTTCCACATGTGAGACCAGGTTTAGATTTAGGAGTAGTCTCATTCCCAAGTAACTCTAAGCCCTACCTGGACCAAACTTTCATGGATGATGCATCTAGGGATGTACACTAACCAACCTGCTTCGAATGCTGGATCTGACCTAGATTTTCCACATGAGTGAATTTTAGCCATATTTTAACCAAATTAGCATGGATGATGTATCTAGGGATGGACACTTCCAGACTTGCCTTGGATTCTGAATCTGATGTACATTTTCCAGAAGAGTGACCAGGGTAATTTTTTTGGAGTAGCTATATAATATTATGGCCTGTTATGATTAAACTTGCATAGATGGTGCATCTAAGGATGAAAACTTCCAGACTTGCTTTGGATGTTGGAACTGACCAAAATTTTCTTGATTACTAAACAGGTCAAAAGTTTTTTGAGCAGGTCTATAATTAAATCAAACTTGCATGGATATTGATCTTGGGATGTACCCTAACTAGAAAAAAAATATGATGTGAAATTTGCCTTACATGTAGATAACATTCGTCGAGGTGAGCTTCGTAATCTTTGATTACCTATGTTTTTTAAGTATAGCTGCAGGTTAGCTTTGGAAGGTCATGCCCATGCAGTTAATGAGTTCATTAACTGAACTTTACAACTGCATTCCAGAAAAGAAGGAGTTGAAATAATTAAGGTAGTAGGCAAATGACAAAACATATGTTCTAAGTACATGTACTGGTTTGTTTCAGTTAACAGTGAACAATTCATTGAAAAATGAAAGCCATCATAAACTTGTATATGATTTTTTTTTTAAATTAAGATGAAGGAAAAACTACAACCACAGAGTCTTTGGGATAATAACTGTGGACAACTGACATAAGCTCAATCCTGACCTGGCATATGAGAGCAGGATCTAGAGAATAGATGTATTATAAGATGCAATTCAAGATTCTGAGTTTTTCCCAATAGGGCAGTGCAAAAACATCTTTGCTGCTTGTCACTAATTTTATTGAATGTCAACTGTTTGGATTGATTTACAGATTTTTTTTTTACATTTTGTTATGAATATTTGATAATTTTGTTCCTATTGAGAGGATTGTAGAAATGTTAGGTCATACATGTAAGCAGTTAAACACCTATATGTACATGGTGCAATGACTTCCTTTGATTTATTTAGCAATGTATGCAGTTGAATTACTCAATAATCCAAGTTGCAAAATTACAAACAACATCTAGGGTCTTCAACAATTCTGCCTTTCGTGT